TCGTGTAGTATTGTCATCACCAAAATGACCGAAGGCAAAATTTTTGCATGATTGTAGTAAATGCATGAATGCAAACAAGGAAAGAAAATATAGTAGAAATTGTGGACAAAGGACGGGAAATTGCCTGTAGGTTAGTGGACATTATCGGTAAAATTCGATAATACATTTTATTTATTTTGTAAATTTTACACAAATATAAATATATGCATGCATTTATTTTTATTTCTTTATTATATATATATATTATCTATATTTAAGTTTAATTAATTAAAATTAACAATCATTAATATATTTAACTTTAATTAATTAAAATTAACAATCATTAATATATTACTATTTGTTTTTGTTATCACAAAAAAAGAAAGGAAAAAAAAATTAACAAATAAATATTGATTAATTATATCAATCTTTTTGATAACAATAATTATCAAATGACTGTCAACTTATCAATGCTAGTTATCAAATGCTAATTATATAAATTATCGATCTTATTTCAAACAAAAATATTAATCTTCCATTATCTTCAACTTATTATCATTTTACCACCCCTTCTTACACCATCTCCGCTTCCACATTTCTTGTCATGAAAAAGGGGACACATTGTTGTTGTAGCATATTTTGAAAATGGCAATTTGGTAATTCTTATTTACAAACCGGATATTTATATACATATATCGGTAAGAATATAAAAATTTTGATTACATCCAATAAATTTCACAAAAGGCGAATGAACTGTACTTCTTCTATCTATCAATTATTAGCATATAATTATTGATTAGTTCCTGAATTCATTTTGTGGAAAATGATAATCAATAAAATGGATATGAAATTTGCATATTTATTAATTAGATTTCTAAATTTACAAAAATTCCACTTATTCATTACTTCTTTTTTGTTTTTCTTATTAATTAGCATTAATAAAATATAATTTATAATTATTTCAATTTTCTTTTTGAATTTAAAGTATCAATAATTCATTGGAAATTTTAATTGGATTAAATATATACATAATAGAGAATATATTTTAATAGAAATAATACAATGAGAAATGAAAAAGGAACTTTTTTTACTATTAATAAGTTAATTGCAATAATTAAAATAAAATTTATTGTTTTTGTTTTTTCTTTCCCTTTTCCTTATTGTTTTAAATTTTTTTGATAAATAAAAGTTTCGTTAAAAAAAGAGCATTTTCCTACATTTATATAAATGTATCGATTGATTGATTGATTGATTTCATTCAAAAAATTATTATTAATAGAAAGAAATTTGAATTGAGAAGAATCCGGTTCATCTCTGCAAATTCCTTCTGAATAAAGCTTATTATTACAGCAATTATCACCAGCGTAGATAATAAAGGCAATATCTTATTGCTGCTGATCATTTCTAACAATTCTTCTCTTTACCGTTTGTTGGTAACAAAAATTTTTTAATCTTTTAACGATTTAGTTTCCCACAAATGAAATGTTTGTAAAAGATGATTATAATAAAAGGAATAATCATAATAAATGATTATGATAATGATGATAAAATTATGATAATAGTAATAGTTAGACGATTAAAATGATGATATGTTTTTGCTGCCATTAATTATGATAATAATGCTAAACAGCTATGGAAGAGGAAAAAAATTCGTAAATGAAGAATTTCAAAATATTGACAGCAGCAATTTGCATAAGTTATCAAACTGCTATCATGAAAAAATGATATTGCTTGCTTATTTTTGTTCTTATGCTCAATTGAAATTTAAATTTTATAATTTGAAAGAAATGAAGGAATTATTTGTTGTAAAAGTTTAGTAGTAATAATCTGAATAACTTATAATGATTTGAAATGATTGAAAATACGAATATCATATTATCATATTTTAAGATATCAGAGTGAAATCATACATATCAAAACTTAAATCATCAAGACTTAATTAGTTAAAGTATTCAGAAATGGATGATTTAATACGTCTAGATGGTATAACTTATCTAGATAATGATAGCTTAATTATCTAGAAATATAACTCAATCATTTAGATAGTGATAACTTAGTCATCTAGTCATGGATAATCATCTAACTATTGGTAGAGATCATAAGTATCAATGCTGATATATAGAAGATAATTGCAAAAACAAAGAAAATTTATGAGTTAAAAGTTCAATCATTCTAGTGATATGCAATATATCACCTAAATATTAAGATGATTATGCTATACAGAAAATACAAAATCGATCCCGAAATGATAAATTGAAAGTTAATGAAATTCGCTCAAATTAGCTATTTTTAAATCTAAAAATTCTTCAGAAAGCTTATTAATAATTCAATTTTAAATCTTAAAAATATAGTCTAAAGTTCAATCAATTCGCATTTTAACAAAGTGTTAATATGAAAAAATCGCTTTTGCGATAATTTATTGCGAAAAAGATAAGTTATCGACGAAGGATTAACAATTAGATGAACTATTACGTATAAGTTTATCAGTGTTGAAAATTGTATGCATATATAAGTTTATCTATTATATTATAAAAAACTATTATATATATCAGTTCATCAGTGTTGAAAATTATATATATATAAGTTTACCTATTATATGTATAAAAAACTATTATATATATCAGTTTACCACCGTGTTGAAAATGAAAAGAAATTTCAAATGCAACAAATAGAAAGTTTGAATAAAAGTTTAAATTAAATGTGTGAAATGTTAAAAACAATGAAAGTAAAAATTTTCTACAAAATGAAATTATTAATAATTTCAATGGTAAAAATTATAAAATTTTTTCCATTTTCCTTTTCTTTCTTCTTCCTACGCCTATTGTTTTAATAATATAAGCATTTTAAAGTGATTATATTAAATAATTATTCAATTTAAATTTCCATTTCCATTTCCGTTTCCACCAATTCAAATTTCAAGCGATATTATAGGAAGCGAAAATCAATCATAATTTAGCACCCAAAATCTATGATGAAATGATATTTAATAAAATACAGAATTATTAACTAAATACTAATACCAAATGTTTACTTCAAAATATTTGATAATTTCAAATTTAATTTTAAAGAGTTTGATAGTAGTAGCGAAAAATTACGTTGCAAATCTCTACTGATGAACTGAATAGAATCCAAAATCTATGATGAAATATGATTGATATTTAATAAAATACAAAACTATTAACTAAATATCAATATCAATTGTTTACTTCAAAATATTTGATAATTTCAAATTCATTTTCAAAAAGTTTGGCAGTGACGAAAAATTACGTTGCAAATCGTTGCAATAAACTAAAAAACTGTAAAAGTGTTGAAAATTTTTCAAATTCAAAAAAAGAGGATATCGGAGAATTGAAAAAGGCAAAAATAAATTTTACATGATTATATAGAAAAAAAGAAGAGAAGCGAATTTCTTTTAATAAATTACTAAATTTTATTTTAGTCGAAAAAATGTTGAATAATCGGGAAATTATGGAAAATTCGATCATATCGCTGGAATTAGCAAAAAAAGAGGAAGAAAGAAATAGAAATTATGAAAAGTTTTCATTTTAAAAATCTTTCAAAATTTTCTTTAAAATTAAATTTAAAATAAAATTATGTCAACTTTCCCTCTTTTGTTTTTTGATAATTGAAAATAAATCAAACAGAAAAGCATAAATGATTGTATTATTGTATAATAATAGAGGATAAGAAAGAAGAAAGTAATTAAGGTAAATTAAAAAATGACAAATAAGATTTCATCGTTTTAATTGTATTCTAATTATTTTTTCATTGCAATTTATTAATTAATTAATTTATATATTTATTGTTCTAATTCATTTCCTTAATTGTTTGTTTACTGCTTTTTGCGCCTCTGTTACCTCCAAACTGTCTAATCAATTCTTCTGTGTGAATCACAATTTTATTATTATTTGCAAGTAAACAAGCTAATCTAGTTTACCAGACGAAGTAACAATGATGACAGTGCTTAAGCGAAATAAAGCAGCAAACAGCCCGCGGGGTTTGAATAAAGATCAGTTACCGATACCGTTTCATCACTACCGCCAATAAATCGTTTCGATTCATGTCCGTTTTCATTTCATTTCATTTCATTTCGCTTCACTTCATTAAACCGGATATACGCGTATCATCCCAAAGCCAAATGAGCTCTCTTTATTTGGTAATGATAAAGATGGAAGAAAAAAAATGATAAACTATATTTTACATAGATTTAGACAAAATGATTAGATTTAACAGGATAAGAAGGATGAAAAAATTAATAATACCGGATCAGAGAGCCCATTTGACCGGATCCATAATCTTACAATCAAATTATTAATACCGGATCAGAAAGCTCATTTGACCGGATCCATAATCTTACAATCATAAAACAAAAACGGATTTAGACGTTTTTGATAAAAAAATGATAAGTCAAAATTAAAATTTTATTTAAATAATACGCCAAAAATTAGCTTAAAAAAGAAAAATGAAAAAATATATCGATAAATAAAAATTTAGGAATTTATCGTCGTTTTTAAATTTGTCAGTAAAAATTTAATAAAGCAATTATGGAAATTCAGAATGTCTACTTTATTCATTTTTGATAAACAAAGAAGAAAAGATTAAAGCGAATTTAATTATTGACAACTGATTTTTTTCTTTTATAAATTTAATTGCGCCAATCATTTGGAATTAGCCAAAGACTTAACAAACAAAAATTAAAAGACAAAGGATAATTAAAATGAATAGTAAGCGCTTATTATAATAATGATAGAATTAGTACTATTATTATTATTATTATTATTATTATTATCATTATTATTATCATTATTATCATTTTTAGATTTGATTAAACAATATGAAAGAAAATTGTTAGCTTTCCTAATAAGAATTTTTTATGATAAGGAATATTTGGCTAATGCATAATTTTGATATAATTAACCTTTTTTTTTGATCGATAATTAATTGATCGAAATAGTTTAAAAAGAAAATTAATTGAAGTTAATAAATGAAAATTTTTGATAAAGAAGAAAGGAAAAAAAGCTCTAACCTTTAAGCCTTGATGATTTGCCACAAAATTTGCAAACATATGGTTTGAGTGCGGTATGTACGGATCGATGTTCCGCTAAATTAGACCGGAACCGGAATGCTTTACCGCAAATTTCACAAATAAATGCTTTATCGGTATGAAACATATGCTGATGTTGTTGAAGTATTTTTTGGCTAGCAAAACTTTTCGGACATAAATTGCAGGTAATCTCGTGAACCTGAGATGATAAACCGGTGAGTGAATTTGATTGAGCTGGTAAAACAATAGCAGATGGTGGTGATATTGCTGATGTTGTTGTTGTTGGTGTTGTTGTTGTTGTTGCTGCTGTTATTGTTGTTACCGATGATGATGATGATGATGGTGATGAAGATGATGATACCTGATGATGATGATGATGATGATAACGATGATGGTGATGCTGTTGCTGCTGTTGATAATGGTGTTGTTGATGCTGCAACTGTTGGATGGCACTTACTGCTACTGCTGTAGTATTAGTACTACTAACAGCAACCTTATTGTCTCCGCCTTCGGGCGTTGTTGTCGTTTGTAACACAGTATTATTACAACTATTACTACTACCACTATTACTTGTGATGTTGCTACTTCGGATGGCGTTAGCAGCTGCTGTAGCTGCTGATGCAACTGCTGCAGCTGCTGATACCGATGTAGGTAACGTAGTAGTTGTTATTGTTGCTGATGATGATGATGATGATGGTGATGGTGATGCCGATGATGATGATAATAATAAACTGTTTCCACTCATTATCTTTTTTTTTTGTTACAAATTCACCGTTTTTTTTAAAACTTTATAATAAATGATGAAAGAGAAAATAATAAATAAATATTAATATAAATAAGTACTTTTGTTAGGAGGAAAATTCCCCGTACGGTTTTAAAAATCAGTTTTTATTTTTCCCGAAATAAAGATTTCGGGATGAAACCAATAAATTAAATGATTCGTTAATTTCCCAACTGGCAATAATCAGTATTCCCAATTAACATTGCTGTTGTTGTTGTTGTTGTTGTTGTCTTTTACTGACAGTATAGCCAAGAATTTAGCGATGACCATATAGATTTGATGATGAATAAATTAGCATCACTGAAATAATAAAAAAATTTTTCAAAAAAATTTTATGAAAAATTTTTTTCTTAAAGTAAATAAAAATAAAAGAACTTGCTGGCGATAAATTTTGGGATAATAACGAGCTTTTGAATCTTTATTTTCAAAAATAGTCGTATTAACGTGAATGGAATGAAATGAGACTGTCGAGGAAGATCGGATAGGTGAAAAAGGAAGCCGTCCTTGTTTGTACATATATGTATGGCATTTCCTTACAGGATTACGATGTATTTTCTGATATTGTAGTGCTGATCTGTGTATGTGTATGTGTGTGTGTGTGTGTGTACATGTAACAGACACATACATATGAACATGCATACACACACGCACATACACACATACGCACACACACACACACACACATACACGCACGCACACATACAAACGCATTTATGTATACATACATATCCGAGTGATATAAACCACTTCCCCCCCGAAATATACAATGACAATCGGGGATGACACGGCTGACATGTTTCCAGTCGATGGATGTGGACAGTTTTGAAGATAGGAGGATATTATGGTGTTCGAATGCTGATAGACAATCCTATTTCTCTTTGTTTTATCCCCCCCCGCGATAACAGTCCTTGGTAAACTGTGCAATGATGACGGTAATATATTAGATGCTATTACATATGAATAATTCACGCTACTACTATTATTACCATTACTTAATCTTACTACTACTACTACTTTAACTATCACCACTACTACTACTACCACTTACTGCTATAAATTTTGGATTTTAAATTTGAATCTAATTTTTTTACGAATTATTATTTTGTCTAACAAAAAAAATTATAATCATAGAAATCTATTTGTAATTTTCAAATTAATTATTTTGAAATAATATAATTTGAAATTCTGAGATTTTGAGAATTATAATCATCGAAATTATAATCATAGAAAAATTATAATCATAAAATTGTGAAAATTATAATCATAGAAATCAATTTGTAATTTTAATTTCAAATTAATTAATTTGAAACAATATAATTTAAAATATGAAAAATTTTTGAAGGGAAAAATTGGTTTTTCATTTCTTCCTTTCTTATCATTTCGTATTTTAATCTTTTCGATTTTATTTGATGATTTTATGATTTTATTTTTTGTCATTCATTTTGCCTTTTCCACTCGTAAATTATTTCTACTTTCAAAAAATAATGATTGAAATGATAGAGAAGTATGATTCACTGATAATTATTGGAAGTAAACGTTGAGAAGAAAACGGATAGGATGTTGATTTTCATTTTTCATTGATTAAATTTCATGATAAAGAAATTTCATTGATAAAATATACTTACACTAAGAAATATTTTAAATATATTTATTTATGTTTACTTATTAGGAATTTTGTTATTTAAATTTTATTTGCATTTGCATAATAGTAAAACAATACTATATAATTGTTAATATTTCTGACTTATATTTAAATGAGTGCACCCATGTAATATTGAAATTTGTTAGCTGAATATTTATGTATATTACAATGATAATAATAATGTTAATGTTAATAAAAAAATTTATTGCAAATAATAAAGCTAATTACCATTGTTTTTTTATTATCATTATTATTATTATTTATTATAATTATTATTGCTATTATTATTATTATTAATATTTTAATTATTATTATGATTTTTGGTTATTATTAACAGTAATTTACTAACAAATAAAACATCACTATCATCAATCACCACAAACAACGATTATATCGACAAAGGATAGATGATAATACAACAAAATACAATGTAAATACGATATGGGGAAGTACTTCAATAACAGTGACAGTGATAATTACAAATTTTTGACGGGTTTCTTTTCGTTCCTTTTTTTTCTACCCTATCCGATTGCAACAGGATTATGCTGTATGAGAATTATTTACAGCTATCAAATCAATTTGTCAACTTATAAGTTACAACTTTTCTTTCCCTCATTTCTTCTTTCTTTGGTTGATAATTAAATAATTATCTTTGTTTTTGCAAATAAAAATGAAATTATTACAATGTGTTTTAAAGCTCATAAAAATAAAATTATTTGACGAAAAAATTTTTATATGAATATAATTTTGTAATATTTTCTTATCATTCCTCTTTTTTTGTTTTAATCGATATTAATGAATGAAATAATATTAATGAATTTTTCTATTATCTTAGAGATTATTCCATACCGTCTACTGCAAAAATAGATTGATAATGTTTATTTCACATAATATTATTATCAGCAAAATAATAATAATAATAATAAATAATAATAGTAGTGATAATAATGATAGTATGACAACGACAATAATAACGATGATAGATAATAATAATGATAATAGCAGCAATACGAACAACAACAACAACAACAGCAGCAACAACAACAACAACGACAACAACAACAACAACAACGACAACAACAACAACAACAACAACAACAACAGCAACGACAACAACGGCAATAGTAGTAGAAATTGAAAATTTTAGCACAAAAAAAGAATAGTGTAACGATAGTTATTGGTTTTAGTAATATCAGTTATTATTCGTATTATTATCGTTAGTCTTGAACAGTTAATATTTGTAATGACTTAAAAATAAATAAATATCAGAATGAAAAAAATTTGATGAAAGTGACGACAGTAAAAGGATAACGATAAGGTGGGATTAATGGCAACGCATTCAAACTACAACTTGCCTTTGTTGGTTCCAGAAAGAAAGTGTATGATGATGGTGAAAAGCTTTATAGTCACTTGGTTGATTTTAGAGTCAGCTTGCCAGCTAGCTAAATGGGGACAAACAGATAAGTGACAGGAGAATGGAAGAGAACAGGACAGATGAGAAAATGGGACAGGCTTAGCCAGGATATAAATATATTTGTACCAAAGATCGATACAGGCATTCAAGTCTTTATGGTACCTCTTGCCTGTCAACCACAGAGTCTCTAAAATCGCATCATAGAAACGTATCGAATCATCGAAGCAAAAAGAGGGATTGGGGACTCAACGAGCATAAGACTCACTACTACACAAAATTTGATTGGACTTCGATAAACGACGACAACCATCGAGATCGAAATTAACTAACTCAAGCCGTTACAACTGATACTACCATATATTATAGCGACAATAATATACTGAATTGTGAAACACCCACTACAATTACCATCATCATCATCATCATCATTATCATCATCGTCATTGCGAATCTCTTCGTTTCCGTGCTTTGTCTTGCAAATAACTAATCAAAAAGCAAAGTATATAAACTTATCATAGCAATCCAACTATATTCCTAAATATTCGAGAAGAAATTCAAGTAATCAGGACGCAATAACAATAGCAATATTAACAACAGTATAAATAAAAATAATAATAAATAATAATAAATAATAAATAATAAAAATAAACAATAATAAAATTAAATAGTAATAAAAATAAACAATAATAATAACAAATAAACAAATAAATAATAATTAATAAAAATGATAATGATAATGATAATAATGATAGTAATAATGCTAAATAATAAATAATAACAACAATAATAGTAGTAGTAGTAATGAAAAAAATATTATCTGACACTGATCGTTATTAACGAAATGGATTATGAATAGTTAAAATGCATCAATAAGAATTGTCAGATTGTTTTACCTTATCTAATATTGTAATGTTTAATATGAAATACAACAATAACAATTCTTAAATGAAAAAGAAGAAAAATTTTAAAGTAACATAAATTGATTGATACGAAATATTTTCATCGTACAATTTAAGCTTAAAATAATTATTCACTTTTTTTGTGGTAGAAAAACGACAAAAGACAAAAAAGAGATCAGTAGCATAAAAAGTTTTAAATGCTACGAGAAATACGAACAGTTTTATTACAATATCTTAAATCGATGATTTCGGAGGATTGTGGAATAATTGGCAAAGTTTGTCGTGAGAGTTTTTCACAAAGATATATAGATCGTTGAAGATCGTTGAATAATGATTGCGGTAAGATAAAACTTAATAAGTTGAAAATTTTTTTTCAAAATAGATAAACTACTTCATCCTCTTTTCATCACCTTTAGTTTGAAAAAATTTTAAATATTTTTTTTCATTTCAATTTTTTTTTTAATTACTACTAATGATACTAATAATGATAGCAGAAGAAAGATTATTACTATTTTTAAGATTAGGAATTGTAAGTAATCAGGAATTGCAAATATTCAGGAATTGTAAATATTCAGGAACTGTAAATATCACAAAAATAAGAAATTCCGATAATTTTCCTAATTTGAATTTGAAAAGAAAATTTCAAAATTAATTCAACGTTTAATTTTTCCATTTACGGAACGTTTTTTTTCTGGAAACGTTTAATTTTTTTTTCAACTTATTAAAACAGTCCGGAATTATCCGTAATAATTCAACAATAACATAAACGTTAGGTATAACTACCATAAAGGGTAGGGACTTATTTGGAATCTTTTCAGATTACATTCCATTTAATCCAATAAATAGCTTGGCTATCGATGTCTTATATTTTACTTCCAAGAATTGATTATTTATTTCAAACTGAACTAAATGGATATGGATATGATATGGTAGTTGTAATGTCGAAATATTATTTTCTTTTTGCGATATATTATCCGATTTTTTGGAAGATAACTACTACAATGTCGGATACGGTCAAATATCAAATTTTCCGGTTTATCAATCATAAAGACTTACAAAATATTTAGCCATTTGTTGTAATTCATTTGGCTTTTGCAACAATATTAAAGGTATAATTCTGTTTTATATACCGTACAGGCCTTAAAAATCGTAAAGTAAGCTAAAAGAAGAAAGAAGCGAAATAAAAGAGAAGATCAATAAATGTAGAAGGGGATGGCTAAGCTATGGTGTTGCTTATGGTCTCACCAGGCCTGACTGGCGATGCATACTTGTGATTGTGAAAAGCATTGTGAGGCCTAGGATAATTGTGCGCCCCATTTGTGCGTCTGTGTGAATTGTAGGCACAACAATATTCAGTAGTATGGTTATATATATGTTGGAAAGGATATGAAGGAGTGGGTGGGGAAGGAATAGTTGTTAGGTTCAACAGAAAGGCATGGCCAGATGGAGCATTTATACAGACAGATGGGTGCACACAAACACACACACACACATATATATGTTTACATGCTCACATACACACACACACACACACACATACATGCACACAAAAATAATAGTTGAAAATGTAATTCTTGTGCTTCTGTTCGTTCTATCCCTTCCGGTATTATTGTTTCATACTTTCCATTCTTTTTTTGCTTTTTTCTTTGTTTTTTCCAAATGTCATCTTAATTAAAAGATAATAATATAATAGTAAGATCAATGATAATAACAACAATAATAGTAGTAATAGTTGTAGTAGCAGTAATTAGTAGTACTAATAGCAATAGTAGTAGTAGTAGTAGTAGTAGTAGTAGTAGTAGTAGTAGTAAATAGTAGTGAGGGATAAATAAAAGCCAAGTTCAGTCCCCTTTTGGTATGCTTTCTATATCTTTTACTATTATCAACAACAATAACTTTTGATGATCTTATCGTTTGTTTATCATTCTATTTTGTTGTGTTGTGTGATATTTTTCTTGCATTAACATATTCTAATAGTAGAGTATAGTTTAGTAGTAAGTACTAAGAAGCAGTAGTCATCGTAGAAGTTCAATGATTTATTTTATGATGCTTTTAATGCCTAAAGTATCCTAACTATCCTTCTACTACTACTACTACTACTGCTACCACCATTGTTGCATGCTTTCTGCATGAATCATTTCCTTTTTACGCCCCTCTTTCTCCCCGCCTCTTCTTAACATACTATTTTATTTCATGAAATTACTATACTGATTTTGCAAAAATTAAAAGCAGCACTCTATAATTTTGTTGCTTGTATATCGAAGCTATCTTCGCAATGCTATTTGCAAGAATCAATACCATACCGGCGGTTGTGGCATCTGCTTCTTCTGCTTCTTCCTCTTCTGATCCAATTTTTACCCACCCATTTTCTCGATGAGTATGACAAGAAGGCTTTAATGGGGTATGATGCGAAAGAAGAAGAAGAAAGCCGGAAGTCGTCATCATTCCTAACATTTGTAAAGTCAACATCATCTTTGCTCACATAGCTTGGCTCATTTAAAATAGCCAATATATATATAAATTGTGTGTATCATAGAAATCATACAAAAATGACAAGCCTAATATTATTATATATTTAAGTAATACTAAGCCTAATTGCTTTTCCATGCTTCTATTTATAGTTCTTATAATCTTATAATCTTTTAAAAAATAAATGTAAACAAACCAAAAGTTAATTTGAAGCAAAAAATCTTATCATAACATTATGTGCATTATAATAAATTATAATAATTATGTTTAATAAAATCACATCTTTAACGCATCGTATAAAAAAAATATGTTAATGACAGATATTAAAAAGATTAATTTGTTTTTTGTTTACTTTTTAAGTTTCGATTTAATTTAATTAAATTAATTACATCTAAAGTTCCACTTTAAAAGTCATGAAAAACATATTATAAGAAGTATACTTCTCGCATGGTAATTGCTAGTAAGTAATTTTATTAATTATAATTATTACGACATAAGATTTGCAAATCTAAAGCAATTATTATTCCTAATAAAAATAAAGATAAATTCTAATGGCGTAAATTAGTCCATAGGAAATTATAATCTTTGATTCTATATGATAAATTGATAAGCTATTGTTATCTTCTTTAGGCGAACAGTTAAATTAGCCTGATATACAACTTTTTTTTTCCCCCTGAAAAGCATATTATTATACATAGAAGCGATCAGATCAGATTATGATGGATAATTTAGAAATTTAATTTTCTCTCAGAGTTCATTAATTCGTTTTTATATTAGTCAATTCACTTATTGTTAATTAATATGTTCGTTTGGTTAATTGAAAAAAAGTTATTTCATAAAATTTCGAATGGTTGAAATATTATTGGACTAATAGTATTTGCCAATGATATAATTTAAAATCAAAAAATATTTTTTTAATAGAAATTAGATGTAAAAGATAAGAAAATTAAATATAATAATAATTACTGCCATTATCATTACTATTATCATTATTATTATCATTATTATCATTGCAAATATTGAAATATTCATGTTTGAAAATGGTTTTAATTTATCAAAATTTAAATGTATTAGAGGGAAAAAAGCAAGAAAAGAGAGAGAGAGAGAGGGAGAAAAAACAGAAGAGAAGTGAAAAAAATTAAATTGATTCTTTACAGAATTTACGAATATATGTCTAATGGAATTTCAACTGGTTAGTAGATGATGAAATAATAATGATAAATATTAATAATAATAATAAATAATACTAATAATCATAATAATAATAAATAATAACAATAATAATAATGGGTGATAAAAAGAACAATAATAATAATAATGAAGACGATGATAATGATAAGATGATAGGTGGAATAGTTAGCATGCTGAACATATGAGTGAAGAAGGAAGTAGTATAGTTTAGCTGGTAGGCATCACAACTTACCGTCAGCAGTGGATTATCATCATCATTATCTCAATCAAGATTTCATTCCTTCTGTTCCCTCAATTATCATCTTCTGTCTACAGGCAAGTGAAAAGCTTTCCCTTTTACCCTTCCTTCTTCTTCTTCACCACCACCTCTTTTCTTTCATCCCCCGCTTATTCCTCTTCCATCCACCTCTTCCCGACTTTTAAGAGAGGGAGAGAGAAGAAATGATAGTAGGATAGTTTGGAAATAAGAAACGAAGTAGAAGAAAGTTGTAAAGCATTGTTTATGAATTATTACTATTATAAAACCTTTTCAGGTATTACTTCAACTTTTACTTCTTCAGAATGAATCCTTTTTAAAATAAACTTTTTAAACAAACTTTTTAAAACAATTATTGAATTTGAAATTGAATGGAATGAAATAAATTATAATTGAAATATAATTAAGCGAAGGATTATTAATATATTGAGAAAAGGTATATATCATCCCTTTCTTCCAATAACATCTTCTTCATCAATCCACTAAAACTAAACTACTAAACAACTAAGCTGAAAGTCATTTCGAATTATGTTTAGTTCAAATACACACAACACACAAATTCTCTTGGGATAGTTAAGTTTTAGTGTGCGCCTTCTGTTATTTTACAGTTGTTGTAGTCTTCCTCCTTCATTCATCTTCATCCTTATCCTTATTCTTATCCTTATCCTTATCATCATCATTATTATCATCATCATTGTCATCTTTCTTTTTCTTTTTCTCTCTCTCTTTCTTTCTCTCTTATCTCTTTTCCTCCTTTTTGCTATTTATTTAGCATTCATTTTTCTTGTGAAATTTCACTTCCTACTAAATGTATTCACTTATTACCGCCTGTTTTCCTATCTCACTTATAATCATCATTTGATCCTAAAAGAAAAAAAGATATCATCTTCCTGTTTCACTTATCACCGATAATAGCATCAAACATCAGTAACCGAGCTCTAGTAGTAAGCAACAGCAGTAGGGCACAGTTGTATTGTCAATAATCTAATCTTCTAGAATGAAAACAGTAATTGTGTTAGTGATAATGATATTATAATGATAATAATCATATTAATTGTGTAGATAATTCTTTTATCTATCAAATCAAAATATCTATTACCACTATCATATTATCTCTAATCATCTTAATCAATCCACATACAAACATACATACATAATATTACAACAGCTAAGAAGATGAAGAAATAGAGGAAGAAAGTTTAGTTCAACCAATATGAAAGCTTTATAATCACATGCACATCAACACAGCTGACACACACACACCACACACATACCACATACACACACATACATACACACACATACATACATACATACACAACCATATCACCGTTTCCTCACGGGAAAACGAGAAAAGTTTACTTCCTTAGAGCAAGCCAAAAATTATAAACGATCCGTAGAATCGTTCCTGTTTTTTTTTTTCCTTCCTCTCTTAACCTCCTCTTCTCTTTTCTCTCCTTCCCTTTCCCTCTCTCTCTCTCTCTCTCTCCTTCTTACTTCATTCAAGTAACTATTCATAATTTTCACTCATAATCGATACGTATCTCTCTGTCCACTTCTTTCCTACCAGCCTGTATATAATATGTGTATGCGTCTTTACAGTTGTTGTTTAATTGAAAGTTTTTTTTGAAATGATTTATAAAGATGCTATCAAGTTGGATTATATACACATATTATCATCTCACATCTGTTACATAACACGTCATCCTTATCATCATTATAATTATCATCATTTACTATTATTATTATTATTATTATCATTATTATTATTATTATTATCATCATATGTGCTCTGTTTATCAATAATGAGAAAATAGTTCCTTTAATTTTTTTCTTTCTAAAACATAAAATTAGTTTTAAATTAATTTTTAAAAAAAATTAATCTAAAGCATAAAATTAAATTAATTAATCATTTAGCGGTGAAGGATAAGGTGTAATAAACAAAAGTGAAATAAATGAATAAACAAACAAACAAACAAATAATATTTAATTCGACCAATAATCACAGTGTAATCATTTAACAAATAAAATGTTTGGCGTTTGGATAATTTAATCATATCAACTGATAATTTCAATAAACTTATCAAGAATTCAAATATGTTAAGTTTAAATTTTAATGAAATTTTTTTCGGATTATTACCAAGAAGATTCTTTTTATTGTTTACCGCAATTTAAAGTGTTAGAATTGATTAATTAGAATGAAAATTTACGACTATATGCGTTGCTTTTAGATGAAAAATTTGCATATTTCCATTATCGCGAGAGTATCAAACAAACAAAGAGAAAGAGATAACTAATCAAAACTTATAAATTAAAATAAATGAATATCCAAAATTAAGAAAAAAATACAAAATTAATAAATTAAAACAAAAGATTACTAAAAACAATGAAAAGTTGAAAGTTCAAATACAAATGAATGTTGTTAATTTGAATACAAAACTTATAAATTAAAATAAAAGAAACAATGAAAATTTGAAAGTTCAAATACAAATGAATGTTGTTAATTTGAATAATTATATATTTTTCTATAAGCATAGTTTTCTGTTTTTTCTGTTTTACATCATTAAATCATTTTGATTAAAATAATTTCAAACATTTATTTTTAATTTTTATTAATATCCAATTGTCTATGTATTCTAACCAACTAAATTTCGATATTTTAATTACTTATTGTTTTAATAATTTTAAATTTCACTAAAAATTATTCAAATTCATTGATTAAAATGCACAAAGAAGAAAACAGGGTGGCAGCAATAAATCAATAAAAAGAAATAAATATTATAATAAAGTATTTCAATTACCTTTGTTAGCAGTAAAATTAAAAATTGAAAGAGAAAAATTTAATAAAATAAAATAGTAACGAAGAAGGATGAAAAATACATGAAAAAAGAGTATGAATGAATGAAATAAAAGAAGAAGAAGAAGACTAGATAGTATAGTATATTTATAAATAGGACAAACAAGAAATTGAAATGATTGACACTTTTTTTCTCTCTCTTTCTTTTTTTCTATTTTTTGAAATTAAAAAAATGAATAATTTTAACTACCTGCGCATTTGCATATCCTCTGAACTATCACTTTTATTGGACCATAGCGAAAGCTCGCTATGCGGGAATTATTGTCTATTTCTTTGGGTTTCTACCGTGTTTGCCTAGCATTTTTGGTAAAGTTTTC